TTAATAGACTCCCTTTTTAAAGCTGAATTGAATGGTGGCGGGTTTTTTAAAATCCAATGTGTGGATCACATAATATTGCAAAAATTTTAACCTTTGAGTATAGATGATCCGCATTGTATTAAATTAATAATTTCAAAATTATTTATCTCGAGAACCAGTGATTCAAATTTAATGAAACACGGCTCATTAGAATAACCTCATAAAGGAGATTCTAATGATGATAATTTAATGTCTACAGGATCAATAAATGGCGAGTTATTGTAATATTATGGTAAACCAAAATGTCTCAATGATCAATGATTTGAATTACATCTTATTAGAATCACCTCATCGAGAGAATTCGAATAATAGTTGTTTCAAAATAGCCAGATATTGACCAAGTTATGAGGATTTGAAGCTTTTAATTGATTTTCTGTATGTGTATGATGTAATTTCGACCATTTCGACTTTTCGACTTTTGGGTTTCAATTTCGACTTCATGTATAATACCCAATTCAGACCCGATTTGCAAAATGTAAAATGAAAAGGTTTGTGTTAAGTTTTGATTTTCCACATTTACTTCCTTTTATAAATTTTGAAAAACAACTTGTGAAATGATGACTTCTAACCAAGAAGCTCAATGGAAAACCTTATTACATTTATAGAACACGAGTACATGTGACATCAAAGAAATACATAGATTGACAAACATACCCCTTTCTACTATATATGATAACCTTAAAAAGCTCAAAAATTCTGGTACAATACAGCATGCAGGTGGTAACAGTTGGCCGAGGAAGATTATGGGTAATGCCTCAAAGGCATTGAGGCAATATATTTGTAGGGATTCCTCTATTTCAACAAGAACTTTAGCAAAAAAGTTAGCAAATACAGGTGTAGAGATATCCTATCGAACAATTGGGAGACATCTAACTAATACTGGATACTTAAAAAAACTTACAAAAATGACACCAATGCTCACTGTCAGACACAAATGAAAATGGGTAGAATGGGCTAGAGAGCATCTTAATGACAATTGGAAGAAGATGTTATTTTCAGATGAGACAGCCTTCCAACTATTCCAAAATACAGTAGAGCGGTAGTATAAACATGAACAGCCAATTCGTCCTATGCCTGAAGATCAGACAAAATTTTTTGCACGGATGTGTTGCTTTAAAGGAATAATGGATGCCAAATTCTATGTAGATATTCTCTGCAGACATGTCCCAGAGATCAGGCAGATGTTGGGAAATAGATAGTAATTTCAGCAGGATAACAACCCGAATCATACAAGTCACGTTGCCAAAGCCTTTTACAGGAGAACATGCCTGAGGTTATGGACTGGCCATCCAACAATCCTGACTTGAATCCTATTGAAAATCTCTGGAGCATTGTTAAGGGAAATGTTAAGAGGCATATGTCAAAAATCAGGACGAATTGGAACGATTTATGATGGAGGGGTGAGGAAATACCCTCGAATCCACTATAATAAGTTTAGTAGGATCAATGAAATGAATGGCATTGTGAGCTTGTGATTGAAAAAAATGGCGAAAGAATACCTTATTAAAAATATATTAATAAAATCAGCTGGTTTTTAGCTTCCAATGATAGTAATTTTGTTCACCAGTCGTTGTATAATGGTCAATTTTATAATTCTGTTTTTTTTTGTCACACACTGTATATTGTTGTAGAAAGAGATGGTGTAAGTGAATCATTAGAAAATGCAGCATATAAAGCAAATACACAATCACTTGTTAACTTTTGGGATAAATATGTGGACCAGAGTGGGGCTTATATCTTTTATGCTTATTTACTTTACCATGAATAGAATCCCTTTCACTTTTTCCAAGCATATCAATATAATCTACTTATGTCGTCTATAATTTGACCATTTTTGGGTTATATCCAATCTCACTCCTAAATGGTGCCAGTGCCTCTATTCTCTCCAATCACCGAAAATTTAGGATCTTGGATATCAACCTTAATTTCAAGTGGTTTAATGATACATAAGCAAAATTCACCAAGATGTTTTAATCCAGGTATTTTTTCACCTTTGAGAAATGAATAATGTCCACTTGCTCTTCCCCAATCTGTTGATCTAATGTTGATTGACTATGATTTGACTTTTTAGATCTAAAACTTTTCTTTTTTTGTAGCAATATCTGAATCTCAAATACCATAAGAACCAATTGGAAACCAGGGTCTTCAAATTTTTCAGACTTATTATCTCAAATTTTTTTTATTTTTCACATCAATATTAAGTGCTGCCAAACATTTGGTATATGTCCAATGAGCAGTACCAACCCCCAAATTAAGGTAAAGCCTGATTTTAAGAGCTTTCCTGAGTGGAGGCTTTTAGAATGAGAAGCTGTGTCCTTGCTTTTAGAAAAGTATGATGAAATTACATCTTCTTTAAAACTCTTTTATATGCCATCTGGTAAAAAGGGGATATGATTTAAATCATAAGGTGTTAGTTAGTTTGAATCAATTGTAACTCATGATCCAAGAGCTAGTTTTTTTAAAGAGTCATCCCATTGGTTTGGATGACTAGTGGTCTTTGAAGATAACCAACACCAGTTCATGTGAGTTTTTGAGTGAACTCACTCCAGAATGGCCTACATTTAAAGAAGTTGGTTACAATGATGAGTCACAGCCAACTGAGGAAAATTGCATATAATTCTTAAAATTCTTTTTTTAATTACTTTAATATATAAGGAATTTATCATTTTATAAAAAAAAAAAAAAAAATTAAAAATAAAAAAGAACTTTGAATATTTTTTTTTTTGATTGTCTTAAATAAAAATCTAGTTATTTTAAATTTCTGGTGGATATTTATCTGCCTGTGACATACTACGGCATATACAAAAACCCTTTGCTGGATAACCAGTGAGTGCATTCATACACATAATCCCCAAACATTAACAATGACATACATACTATTTGTATCATGTCTCTAAGTTGTACTTCCTAATGATTATTTTTTAGAAGGAAAAAAAAAAAGAATTTAGAAAATTTTACAAGATTTAAGATTTAGATGCAGACTTTTGATTATTATTATTGTTATTATTATTACCATCATATCTTGAATCCCAATAACAAGTAGTTGTAGCATGTATTCCAGCTCCATTCTTTTCAAAAATTGTGCATGTTACTAAAATTGTAATTTTAGATTTAGATTTAGATTCTTTTATTTCTTTTTTTTTTCAATTAGTCCAAAAAAAATCTTTACCAATATATTTAAAAGATTTATTTAATGATGATAATTTCTTTAATGTTTGTTCAACTATTGTAGAATTCCAATGAGACATTCTACTGTGAAGATATGCTGAATCTTGTAAAATTGTTTTTTCTACTATCTGATAATGATGTGATATTCAGAAAAACAAGACATTGCGATGATAGTAAGTGGCAGTGACAGCAACAGTGGCAGCAGTGGTGATAATAGTAATAATAATAATAATAATAATAATACATCATTTTACCTCTCCGATTATATTTTTAATTTCTTCCTCATTAAAAATTCTCTTGGGATCCTTAACTGGTATATTCTAATGTATCGTGGATATAAATATAAATTATAGTGATTATAATATACCAAGTTATCAATCATTAAACAAACCTCAGTGCCATTATCATTATTTTCTTCAAATTTTGGTTGTTCTTCCTCTAACATTTTATTAATTAAATATTAAAATAAATATGTACGTACATATGTATGTATGAAGTTCACATGAAAAAACTCGCCCCTGTTGCACAGACCACTGACAAATATATTACACAAATTTTTTTTATTTATCTCTATAATCTTTAAATAATTTTAAATTAACTGAAAAAGAGGAAAAAAATTATAATTACAAGAGAAGGAATCATTAAAAAGTTATTATATCATTATTAATAAATACTTTTAAATATTATATATAACTATGCATTATATATTTATAAATCATAGTACTAAATCTCGTAAATTTTGTGTTAAAATAATATCAGTTACACTTCCCATTATATGTCTTAATAGATTTGTGTCTGTTGCATCTGTGAAATGTGGATAAACTTCTTTTTTTTCACTACGATTAAGTCTTTGAAATTTTTTTTTAAAAAAATGTGTTGTCTGTTTAAAATTTTGATTATCACCTAAAAATGTAAATTTCCAACAAAATTAATATTTTTTTTTTTGGAAATAATAATAATTAAATATTAAAATTACCTGGAAAATCAGGAAAATATTTTTTGACAGGTGAAACTTTAATCTTTTCCCTAAAAATATCTATTTTATTTAGAAACAAT